GCTCTCCAACCAGACAACAAAACCCACATGATAGCTTTATGTGGGATGGGGGGAGTCGGGAAGACCATAATGGTGCAAAAGCTAAAGAAAGTTGTAAGTGAAAAGAAGTTGTTTGATTTTATTATTGAGGCTGTTATAGGGGAAAAGATGGAGGTGCTTCTCATTCAGCAAGCTATAGCAGACTTCCTGAGTTTAGATCTAAAAGAAACCACTACAGCAGCTAGAGCTATTAAGCTTCATAAAAGTTTCGAGGCCCGTTCTGATGGTGGTAAGAAGAAGTTCCTAATAATACTAGATGATGTATGGCAGTTCATTGATCTAAATGATATCGGGTTAAGTCCATTGCCAAATCAAGGTATCRATTTTAAGGTATTATTGACATCACGAGACCGAGGTGTTTGTACTACGATGGGAGTTGAACTTGATTCAATTCTCAATGTGAAAGTCATAGAGAACTCAGAAGCATATAATTTCTTTCTCCAATTTGTAAAGGTTTCCGATGATGATGATCTCRATCTTGAGCTCCGTGAGATAGGAGAAGATATTGCAAATAGATGTCAYGGTCTGCCCATTGCCATMAAAACCATAGCYYGTACTCTTAAAGGTAAAAGCAAGCATGTRTGGGAAGATACACGTTCTAGAATAGAGAACAAAGATGTTGATGAAGCCGTGCATCAAGTTTTTGAGATAAGCTACAGAAATCTCCATGATGAAGAGACTAGATCAACTTTGTTGTTGTGTTGTTTGTTTCCCGAAGATTTCGATACTCCTGTGGAGGACTTAGTGAGGTACGGTTGGGGCTTGAGAATATTTAACAAAGTGGATACTATAACAAAAGCAAGAAACAGGTTGAACACATGCATTGAGCGACTCATACATGCAAATTTGTTGATTAAAAGTGAGGAAGTTGGTTGTGTCAAGATGCACGATCTAGTGCGTGCTTTTGTTTTAGACATTTGTTCCGAAGGGAAACATGCTTCAGTTGTCGGTGATATGTCAAAGTGGCCTGCAAAATCTGTGAGCGAGTTTTGCAAAAGAATTTCAATAACATGCACAGGAATGTCTGAGTTTCCTAGAGATCGTAAATATCCAAACCTCTTGTTATTGAAGCTTATGAATGGAGAGAAGTCGTTTCCTGAAGACTTTTATCAAGAAATGAAAAAACTTGAAGTAATAGAGTATGAAAGAATGACGTATCCATTGATTCCCATATCACTTCAATACTCGAGTAATCTTCGAATGCTAAGTATCCATGAATGTCCATTTATGTTTGATTGCTCTCCTGTTGGCGATCTTTTGAACTTGGAATTGCTTAGTTTTACCTATTGCAAAATAGAAAAGTTACCATCCAGAATTGGAAATTTGAAGGAGCTAAAGTTACTTGATTTGACAGGCTGTCGTAATCTTTGTATTGATGATGGTGTCTTGAAAAGTTTGGTCAAACTTGAAGAGCTTTATATGTGTGGGGTTAGACGACATGCCGATGGTGATGAATTAGTGGAGTGTTCAAAAAACCTTGATGAAATAGCAATTGAGTTTTTTGGCAACAATGCTTTGCCAAAGAATATGTCATTTGGGAAACTTAAAAGATTCCAGATCTCTTTGGGATGCTCTTTAGATGATTATGATCTTCGAAACAAAGATTCACTCGAAAACACATTATGCTTGGTGACCAACAAATGTGAACTTTTGGATTCTAGGGTGAATGATTTGTTTGGAAAAACAAAGGTGCTTGTTTTACAAGTGGATGGTATAAATGATCTTGGAGATTGTTTAGGGGAATCCTTGCATCGTTTTGGATGCCCATTTTTCAGTTTAAGAGTCCTTCATATTTGTAAGAGTGCACATTTGAGATACCTCTTCACAGTCCATGTGGCAAATGGTCTGAATCAGCTTGAGCACCTCAAAATTATCGGGTGCCCTGCTTTAGAAACACTTATAGATGATGAGAATTGTGAAGTTGAGGTCATCAAATTTCCAGCTCTGAAGTTACTATTTTTGAGTAATCTACCAATGCTAATGAGTTTGTGCAAGCTGGGTGGCAACGTAATTGAGTTCCCACAATTGGAAGTATTGGAACTTGATAACCTTCCAAATTTCACTAGTATTTATCAAGATTTTCTAAAGAAAGAGGTACATATGCTTTAGTTAACGTAAAAGTTATAGTAATAAACTTCAATTTTCTAGTAGATTGCGTTAGTAATAGAAGTCACAATATTACTTGATTTGAATGTAGTTATTTGATTATGATACAGGTTATGAGTTCTAAGTTGAAGGATTTGACGATTACGGAGATGGAGAAGTTGACGGAGATATGGCCAAGTCAATATTTGAGTAGTAATGAGGTTAGTCAGTTGAGAATGATTCAAGTGAAAAAATGTGATAGTCTTGTGAACTTGTTTCCAAGCAATCCAATGTCGTTGTTGTGTCATCTAGAAGAACTTAAAGTTTTCAACTGTGGTTCTATTGATGTGTTATTCAATATTGATTTGGTATCATGTGTTGGTGAAATTGAGGAAGGGAACAATAACTTAAGATCCATTAAAGCAATTGGATTAAGGAAACTTAGAGAGGTTTGGAGGGTGAAAGGAGTAGTCAACTCTAGTCTCCCCATTCTTGGCTTTCAAAGTGTTGAATGCATAGTGATAATAAGATGCAAGAGGTTAAGACATGTATTCGCACCTACCACCTCAAACTTTGACATGAGGGCACTTAAGAAGATTATTGTAGATTGCAGTGATGGTTGGGGAGAAAATAAAAGCAACACTGAAGAGGTATGTTGTGTCATCCTAACTTTCAGTTTCATTATAAAATTGTTGATGCAATTTAATTTTTGTTAAACGAATTTGCTAATTACATTTGTTGTTGGAATTAATATATGCAGATTAATGTTACAAACAATCAAGAGATGTCAGAAGTGGATGATGATATTCATAATGTTGCATTCCCATCTTATCTCATGCATAATTTGCATCAACTTCATAGGCTTAAGTTACTTTATTTTGAAGGGGTGGAGGTGGTGTTTAAGATAGAGAGTTCAAGTTGTAGAAAGTTGGCAACAACTCAGAATAATCACCAACCGCAACTACTCCCTCACCTCAAGGATCTGGAATTACGTGGTCTGAAGAGGATGACTCATGTGTGGAAGTACGATTGGAACCAATTCTTAGTTTCTCAACAAGAACCGAAATCTTCTTCATTCGTCAATATCACGAGCATAACCCTTAGTTCATGTGGCCGTATAAAGTACTTATTCTCTCCTCTCATGGCCAAACTTCTATCCAACTTAATTAGCATCACAATACAGTCGTGTGATGCTATGGAAGAGGTTGTTTCTAACATAGACGATGAATATGAAGAAATGGCTACGACTATATCTTGCCACAAAAATACCACTTTCTTCCCACATTTAGACAATCTCACCCTTGGTTTTTTACCATGTCTAAAGTGTATCGACGGTGGTGGTAACAACTGCGGGGGCAAGGAACTCATGACTTCCACTGTTACTGCTTCTTCTGTTTATGATAAATCCCAGGTATAGTTTCGTTTTTTTATCACTATCACGTGAAAATTTAACTATTTACTTCAAATTTTGTATTTATATGTAAATGTGCTATCAGTTGTATATTTCATGATCTTCGTTAATATTCGCTTGTTGTATATGATATCTCAATTGATTAACTTAATTTCTTTTGTCATCTATTGTAGTGTTATCAAGTTGGTGGAGCATATTGGTCCTCTTTCCAATACGCAAAAACAATAGATATACAGAAATGTCATGCCTTATTAGCTCTGATTCCATACCAAGCGGTTGGTGACAATGCTAATATTGGTGAAGGAAGTGGTGATACGGTTACAATCCCAACGCCGATAAATATGACTTCACTTGAATTGCCCAATCTAAAAACCTTGTATATTGCCGGATGCCACAGTTTGAAATATATATTCACAGCTTCTGTACTTAAGAGCCTTAAGAAATTCCAGGAGTTGAAGATAAGTGATTGCTCTGCAATACAAGTGATTGTGAAGCAGGAAGACAATGGAGAGCACATAATAGGATTGGAAGATGTAGTCTTCCCTCGTCTTACGACCCTTACACTAGTTGGTTTACCAAGTCTCAAGGGGTTCTTCTTGGGGAAGAATGACTTCCAGTGGCCATTATTGGATAAGGTTGAGATCTACCGTTGTCCGCAAATGATGATTTTCACATCTGGTCACTCGATGGCTTCGAAACTGAAATACATACATACAGGTGTAGGCAAACATAGTCTTGAATGTGGCCTCAACTTTGATTGGACCAATGCACCACATGAGGTAAAATATGTTGTTACCTGGTTCATTGAACTATAAAATTAATTACTAACCTACCTCTAGTTGTAATATGTGCCTTCCACAACTAATTAACATTCTTTTAGTTTTTATCAATGTGGTTGACCGATGTATGTCTTTTTCTTAATAGGGTCAACTCTATAAGTCAAGTTCCTGCTCGACTGCTGCAGATATAATAGAGTTACTTCAATTCCCTTGGTCTTTTTCCAACTTAGTCGAACTATATATTATTGATTTTGACAGTAAAGCAATATTTCCAAGCCATGAGTTGTTTAACGTAGAAAATGTTGGAGATATTGAAGAAGCAGAAAAGGTATTTGAAGTAGTAGAAGGGACAAATGGTGAAACACAATCTGCAGATGATGTGATACTAATTTCCAAGAAAAAACAAGTTATATGGAAGAGTAATTGGTGGATACCATCCAAACTTTCAAACCTCACAAGTGTATCACTTCACTCTTGTACAAATCTGGAACATGTTTTCTCTCATGGCATGGCTGCTAGTTTAGTCCAACTGCAACACCTTTCTATATATGGCTGCCCCAATTTGAAGGTAATTGTGGAGGCAGTGCGAGATTCCACTAACGAGGTGGTTTCCTTCCCTTGTCTAAAATTCTTACAACTTGCTGAACTTGAAAGATTGGAGGGATTTTGTTTGGGGAGTGATCAGGCTTTTCAATGGCCATCATTAGATACTTTGATAATAGGAAGATGTCCAAGAATGACAGTTTTCACCAAGGGACAGTCTACTACTCCAAAGCTAGAGGTAATAGGAACAAGTTTTGGATGGTGTGAGGCAAAGGATGACATCAACTCCTTTATAAGGAAAAAAACACAAGAGGTAGGTTTGTGATATTCAATTCCTTCTAATTTGTGAGATTAAGTTATGTTATTTTAATATGAACATTCTTGTTTTAATTACAGGGATACAAATTCTAGAGAAAGATTGATCGAGGCTTCATGGAGTTTAAGGTACGGATTCCTAACCCTTTTCGTTTATTTTATTCTTTTACATATTTTTTTTGCAAACCCTAAAGCTCTTGTTTAACTAATGACCGTTCCAAATTGTTCATTACTGTATCTTCCGTTCACTCGTGCTTGTTCTACGTTATATATATATATATATATATATATATATATATATAGGGTTGGGTTCACGTGAGACCAGTCTGTTTTCGTGAGACCCGTGAGACCACATTTTTACACTTGAAACTTCACAGAAAAAACATTGTGAAGGTTAAAAAAATTCACCTTCACAGCATTTTGCTGTGAAGTTTCAAGTGTAAAAAAGTGGTCTCACGGGTCTCACGAAAACAGGCTGGTCTCACATGATCCCAAATATATATTGAAACCGTGTAAACCAATTTCGACCAATAGGAAAATTCCTTTTTTTCTAATTAAATTTAATCAATAAGGGTATTTCGGTTATTTACAATATTTTCTATTAAATATGGAAGTTATTAATAGATCTTAATTAAGAAAACGTAATAAAGGAAATTATATAAATGGTAACATTTAAATATTTAATTATATTAAAAATTTGGATTTCATATATTGTCATGAATTATAATCAGGAAACGTGTCTTGATGAAACAATTGAATTATAGAATGAAATCATCAAAACGTAGATGAACAAAAAAAAATCCACAATATGAAACAAGTTTCATGAACGTGAAACCGGTTCATGTTGCAGAAAAATTAGGTGAACCAAAACATTTTTATGGTGAACCCGTTGCATTGATGATGTAGTTAATCTTTTTTTTATGAGAAGCAAAATGAAACCGGTGCATTTTGAAAAAAATTATGAAAAGGAAAATGAAACAGGTTTCATGAACGTGAAACCGGTTCATGTTGCAAATAAATTAGGTGAACCGAAACATTTTTATGGTGAAACCGTTGCATTGATGGTGTAGTTGATCCATTTTGTTGATGAAAAGGAAAATGAAACAGGTGCATTTTGAAAATAAATTATAAAAAGGAAAATGAAACAGGTTTCACTCGGGTCTTTGTGCAAATAAATAATGTAAACCGAAACATTTTCATGGTGAAACCAATTTCATTCATATAATGTAATTCAAAATTTAAAACGATTCATTCCATATAATTGAATATGGTGTGTTATATTCATTTTTTTATATGTTTTATTGATGGATGTGGTTTAAAGTTAAAAATAATATATTGCTTTAAAAAATGAAAATAGTGTCATTAATATCTAGAAGGATGTTACCAAATGTTAAATTTTGTTTACCATTTTTGTCCTTACTATTGAAATAAAGTAAAATTTTCATATATATATATATATATTTTTAATTTCCTAAAATAAAGTAAACTAATATTGGTCATTGATCAAGAAAATGGATGAATGAGATTGGTTTGCACGGTTTACACAAATGCGGCAGGTTTTTATTTGAACGCTCATCTATATATATATATATATATATACATACATACATATATATATATAGATGAGCGTTCAAATAAAAACCTGCCGCATTTGTGTAAACCGTGCAAACCAATCTCATCCATCTATTTATGTATGTATGTATGTATGTATATATATATATATATGTATGTATGTATATATATATATATATATATGGCAAGTAGAACATGTCCTAATCATGCTATTTAATTGTTTGGTAACATTTTAATATGATTTTTAAGTCTAAGTGTACATATGTTGGTAGATGTGATCGGTTACGTACCATTCGGTTTGAGCCTCTCAATTGTTACAGCTACTTGTTCATTCAACATGTTTTTTTACATTACTTATGTTGATCATTCATTCGATGTCAATACATTTTGCTCTTACTCTTAATTGAGACTATATGACATCACATTCTTTTCGTTGTGACAAGTTAACTCCGGGTAAGTCAAGCTACTAACCACCTATGGGGGTACCATATGCGTATTTCGAGCTAAGTTTGTCCGTTCATATGCTTTCATGTGGTTATGTTATTTGTTGCTTTTACTGAGATTTTGGTACTCGTTTTGCCCGATATTTTGGCGTGTTTGTATTACCATTTTACTATAATTGTTTATCCGTTCATTAGGCATTTGGCTCAGCCGTGTTTTCTTTTATTCCTCGTAGCAGGTAATCAAGGGGGCGGCTAAGTCTTGTGACGGGGAGTAGACCAGGATCTCGATTTCAAAGGTTTCGAGAGGTTTAGTCCTACGTTATTTATTTATTGGATTTATTTATTTGGCTATTAGACTAGCATTTCTTTTAAGGTTGTATTTGGATTTTCCTTGAGTTATTGGAAGGTGCTTGAAGTGGTTTGTTTAGAGATGTATATTTCTTTGTTGGGATATATTTAATTTCGTTACTCAAAGGTTTTTTTTTTTTTTTTTTTTTGTATTGGAGACAATATTTTGAAGGTTATATATATCGGCGAAGCAATCTACGTTCCTATGGAATGGGGGTGTTACAATTACAGTATATGAACTTGTATATTTATAATCCTTAGTATCTCTTGACCAGGTGGTTGTATCAGTTGAGAAATTGAAATAGTAATCACCACACATAATTTCTGCACAGTTGGGAGCTATTTCAGCCCTTTGATCGACTTCGCTACTAACCAGCACCACTTTTTGGGGTAGAATTCTAATGCAGCACTACTCTTTGCTAACAATATATGGTATTGTTTCAATCATTTGAGGGAAGTTTTGGTACAAGTTTGCGGCTTTCTTTTTCAAGATTACAACAACATATTATCTTCACATGTCTACTCTAGGTGCAGGTACCTCCATGCATCAATTGCCCCTCCCCTAAAAGAAAAATGAATATTACTAGTAATCTCAACAAGAGCATAACCCATCAACGAAATGATGAAACCTCCTTGTATCACGAATGATGATCTTACACTTTTCAACAAACGATACAAACTTTGCCATGTTGTGGCAATCACCGCAGATCCTCAGGTTCTTTGTGATTATCAGAGGCTTGCTGTCATTATAGACCAAAAGACCGAATGCAATTGCCAGATTTTCACTGTGTTTGCTCACCAAACTTTCTTTAACTTCTTTCTTTACATCATTTAGAATGAACTTCAAATTAGGTACATATCCAGCCTTTTGAATTTTCTTGATAACTTCATCTAACTTAGCATATATACTCACTCTCAGGGTGTGCTTGATCATTCACAAGAAAACGATGAATCATGTGTCCATGTTCAATGTAGCTGCAGCTGGCAGTTCTTACAAGACCTTTCTCCTTCATTAAAGCTCGAACTATTGAAAAATCTTTCCAACGACCAGCCTTAGTGTATATGCTTGATAGCATATGCTTGATAGCATAATATAATTTCTAGGGTCCAAGGGGTTTAAAGTAATCAGTCTTTCTACAACTTCCTCACCAAGCTCTACGTTGACGTGCGTTGACCAAAGAAGAAAGATCCAATCATGCCCACGCACAACTCAGAAATGTTAACGAACGTGCTTTTTGTGTATTGAAAGAAAGATTCCTAATTTTGAAACAAGTGGCCCCTTATCCTTTTCGAATACGAAGAAACATTGCAGTTGCTTGTTTCGCAATCTATAACTTTATAAGAAGATGCAATATGCTAAATCAATTATTCAGGGACTACGACAGTAACTTCATGTTCATCAATGAAGCACAAGAACAAATTGACGGAGGCGAGGAAGACGAGATAGATGCAACGCCTTGGGGTCCGAAGACAATGAGTACATGGCTAATTTGCATAATGAGATTGCAAATCAATTGGTGTTAAATGTTTCAAGTTAGATGTTGTACACAACATATTGGGTTTGAACTTGCATTTCATGTGATATTTTGTTATGCCAAAACTTGAACAAACAATTGTTATGCTTGTTTAGATTGATATGATATCATGCATTGGCTTGGACCGTTAATTATTTTCTATTTTTAATCTAGAAATTTCCATCAGAACTTTTGTTAAACGTTAATTTTCATTAAACACAAGACTGGGGTAAAATGATAATTTTATGTCATTCAAACTGTTGATCCAGAACAGTTCCCAAACAACCATTTTCATATATAGACTAAATCATTCTGATCATTTAATCATTCTGTACTCAATCATTCAGTATTTGCCAAACAGCCCCTAAGGTTACCTATTGCTATTTTTTTGCTTATGGCTCTTGTAACATCCGCCCTCTTAAATATGCTTAACTAGTGATTCTGAATATGTATTATATGTTAAAACATGCTTTACGTGCTAATTGTGTAAAAAGAGAATTTGCTGAAATGCCTAGTGTACTAGTGAGCTATAAGTAGAATCCATAGTTAGAATGAGATGTAGGAGATAAGTTTGGTTCTAACACCTCACAAATGGCATAATCAGACAATGTGAGGGTTCAAAATACAAAGTGTATTTCCTAAATGGAAATCAGGTAGGTAACTAGAGTGCCTAAATGGGAAAAATCTACCCAAAACTTGAACGTATGATCTAAATGGTGATGTAAAGGTTGGAACACCTGTGAATAAGTTAATATGAAATGTTAAAAGTGGCGGAAGTCGAAAAAGTCACGTAGATTGCATTTTATGCAAGTTTTACAAATTACGTTGCTTTTTCGGTAAACTACGTGCACAACACTCAAACGGGAGGTGTTTGATGGGATTTTAAGCTTTGGAACTAAGTTTTGGACCTATTAGGAGTCGCTGGAGGGGTCGTAAATTTTTTACGGGATTCCGGACCCAAAATCAAAAACGACAAAATTGCAAAGGAAAGCATAACACTTGCAAATATGTAAAACTGCTTTTATTGGGAGGTTTTTTCTGGATTTTTTTATTGGAAGTTATAGATTATCTAGTTACGAACGCATAGGCGAAAACCTTATCGAAAACGGAGGTCCGTGCGAAATGTTATGAATTTTTTTTGTATTAGGTGGTTAATGTTTTATCCAGTTTTAGAAAAAATTGTATAAAATCATAGAAAAATCGTATAAGAGTGAGTCCAGTGGCATTTGAAAGGCATGGATTCTTAGTGTATTTTATATAGAGATGTCATAATCTAATTACAACTTTAAGAATGGTAAAAAAATGCACTTTGCACAGTGCTGTCAAACTGAATTCCGACAGCCCATAGCTACTGTGTTGCAAAATTTGTATAAAATCAAAGAAAAATCATGTAGATACGATATTAGTTCCATTGTAAATGTAATTGAGTCTAGTTTAATTCACATTTAGAAGTCATTGAGTAATTTTGAGGTTAAGTGGGGTAAAACAGGGCTAGAATACAGTGCTGTAATAGAAAAATTGAAGTATGAAAATTAATTAGTCATGGGGCTAAATTGAGTTATATGCATCCAATGCTCATGAAACTTAATGTACATACTCCAGTGTTTGGTGCTTCTGGAAGGTATGTCTGCTATGACTAATGTTTTGGAACGTGTTTACGGTATGACATCGTTGATAAGAGTAGATTCTCATAAATTGATCATTGGAATCGTTATTGTTGATTTATTACGGTATGTTTTGGTATGTGTACGGACGAACGGATTCTCTTATTATGTCTTTTATTCGTTTTCTTACCGTATATATATATATATATATATATATATGTGTGTGTGTGTTTGTGTGCGCGCGCGCGCATGTGTAATGCTAATATTCTTTGTTTAGTTCATTTAATTCACTAAGCCCTGTGCTTAATCCGAATTCTCCAACATATTTCTTTTTCAGGAAAAGAATTAGACAAGGGAAAGGATCCGGTGAAATAATTGATTCGGTTGAAGTTGAAGAACTTGATCTAGTTTCTGGTACATGATTTGTGATGTTCTTTTTTTGTAATATTTTGGCATGTATATGTTTTAATCATTCCGGGTAGTTATATTATGTCCCGGATGGTTTAGATTCATTCGGTTTGTAAGTAATTAATAATTTTGGTTGTGTTTGACTTTATTGGGTCAAACCATTTGAACATTTTTGGTGGTTTTAAAACTAAAGTTTGTATCCTGTATGTTTTGGAGGTTTAGAATTAATGTTGTGGTGATTATGGGTTAATTGGACGTTTTATAACAACGGTGTTACAGCTCTAGCTTAACTAGGGGTTGTTCGGTTGTTTTTCATTTAAGAGTTTATTTGTTAGCTGCTTAATAAGCTTAATATGACTCATAGCTCATTTGATTAGTTATACATGATTGGTTGGTGATGGCTTAATGATATAAAAAGTGGCTTATTCAGTAACCTTTTAGGAAAAACTTTATCTAGAAAGTCAAGTTTTTAATTTTTTTTCTAAACCTGCCATTTCCAATTAAAAACACGCTCCTTCAAAACAAAAACATTCTCAACATATACAAACAAATTAATCCATATAGACAGTTTTATCCATTAAGGAAAGTTATTGTTCTGTTGGAGTGAGTAAAGGATCAGAACAATAAAAATGGTGATCTAAAATAAGCACTCTATAAAGTTATGTGTTTTGCTACAGGTTCCAGACTTTGGTCTGAGATGAAATATTTCAAGATCAGAAAGGAGGATCATCATGACCAGATGGCAGATGCATCAATGATTCAGTGGAGCTGCTTCTTCACATGAAAACAAACCCACAATCCAATCTCTCTTCTTATAGACTCTGGATGGGTTGCATCATCTTAACACCCAAAACCAGTAAAAATTAGCAAGAAAAAAGAACCCCCATCTCTGATTTGTARGGCATGTTTGTAACTTCTTACAATAAACAGTCAAATTGGTCATTGTAGTTTTGTTTTTAATTCCCTTTTCTTTCTTTTTGATTGATATCATGTTTCAGGCAGCAAAACAGAGAAGCATTGTCGAAGTTCAAGCATTCAAGTGTTTGGTAAACGACACCTACAGTCCGGAGTTACGAACAGTCGATTTCACAAACCACAAGTCTGGACGCACGGGCCTTAAGTTTGATTGCACAGTCCAGACTTTAGACAGCCAATTTTCAAGGTAAACCATGCCTTTTCTAAAGAGGATTAATCAAATGAAGAACATGTAGTCCATACAAGAGTTGAGAAAAATGATTCAAGAGTCTGAGACTAGCATATGGCTGTTAGCTTAAAAACGGAACCTGTTTTATTCAAAAGCAACAGTATCTGCCTTAACTGTTACATCCTTGGTATCTATGGTCTCACCTCTTGGATTTCCTTTTATGCTAATGTTATCACCCTTTATTAAGTTTATCAAAGTAAAAGGTATATGTTAAAAACGATCTCAACCCTTCATTAGTTTATCAAAGTAAATAGAATGTACAGAAATGATCTTAAAAGTATTCAAGCATTCATTCATCAATAATAATAACAGCCAAG